CCTTCCTCCACCAACATCGCCGGCAGATCCGAGTTGAACGATGCCATCGAGTATCTGGAAAAAAAAATGAAGTGCACCTGAGGGTCAGTCTTCGCGCGCTCTTTCTTCTCGAAGATCGTGTGCGTGCGTACCGGTGCTTGTTGAGCGAGAGATACACTGACGTCTCGACCAGATCAAGCAGCTTAGCGGTGGCGTCAGCAAGCCCTCGCGCCGTCGCAGTCAACACCACGTAGTAACCTGATGGTGATGATGACGAGAAATAGTGCGTTTAGCGCGTGTGCACCCGGGGCTAATCCGCGCGGAGGGGAGGGACGGACCTATGACTTTTGGGTTGGTCGAGAGCACGGAGATGGCCGAGAGCATCTGGAGGGTGAGCACGCGCATGGCATTGCTCTCGAAGAAGACCCTCTTCTGAAGGTTCGACTCCACCATCTTGGCCGCAAGCGTGGACGCCGCGTCCACGCAGTCCTCCTCCAGCACGCCCCGGGTTCGCTGCTCCGCCACGCTCTTCACGCCGGCCTCGATGATCGTGATCGTCGCGTTGTTGACCTTGGCCATCCGACCCGCGGCGAACGCGATCAGCAGAATCTTCTTGATGACGAGATACAGCATGCGCGAGGCGTCCTCCAGCGATTCCGTCGCTCCCCTTGGGTTGATCACGTGTTCATTGGCAGTCACGATGAACTCCAGGGCCGCGTCGCCCAACTTGTGTGTGTGTGTGTGTGTGTGTGTGTCCGTTAATAGCGGTGAGATTTGGGGCGAAAGAGGTGCGCGCGTACGTTGTGAGAGATGGCCTTGAACTGCTGACCAGTTTTCTTGGGGTCGAGTGTTAGCGAACCCGCTGCGCTGTCCTCTCCCGTGAAATCCTGCGCGTCGATCTCGTCAACAACGGTGCAAAACAGGAATGGGCACAACGCAAGAGGGCGGCGGGGGAGGCGTACAATCTCGTCGACGATGCCCTTGGCCTTGTTGGCCTGTCGGCGCGTCATGGTGTCCTTACGCCACTCCATGTAGTTCTCCAGCGCCACGATCTTCTCCAGCTCGGTTCGCGGTTCGAACTCGCTGCCTCCCGAACTGAGCAGCCTCTCGCCCGTTTCGAAATCGCCTGATGACTCTGTCGAACCTTCGACGCTCAGCTCCTGGCTGATCGTGGAGACCATTTCGTTTCGCATCCCACGAATCTCTGGGTACTTTTCAGCCAGCGTTTGTACCACCTCGTCGGCCACCTTCGTCGTGGGCTGGACGACATAGCGGGTAAGGAACGTGCCTTCACTGG